AAACACTGGTTTCTAGCATATGTCCAGAAGTGAAAATGTGGTGTGAAAGGTTTTGTCTATTTTCAATTTTCTAGGTAGTGCCAAATCCTTCTTGAAAGTGGTTGTACCACTTTACACTCCTAAGAGCAGGCCCTGTGCAGTGTGCAGTGGTGCAGTTCGGTTTTTGTTTTGTTTTTTCTTCTTCCCTCTTCTGTCATATGTCGGTGCAGTTTTGCTTGTCTCTGGGCAGCATGAAGTTAAGCACCTTTTCAAGTGTGTTCACTCCACAGCAGGGCCAGGACTGGGAAGAGGCAAGGGAGTTGTCTAGGTTAGATTTTTAAATTAGAGTGCACTAATACCTTCTGAGTGGAGAGAGATTTTTCTTCTTCATTACTTTCATTTTCACTTCCTTATACTACTTCTGGTGGTTCAGGGTATCCTTTAAGGAAATGCCTCAAACATCTCCCTATTAAGTATGTTTCTGGGTTTTGTTTATGCCCTTTATCAGGTTGAAGAGTTCCTTTCTCATTAGAGTTCTTACCATAAATGGGTGTTGAATTTTATTGCGTTTTTTTTTTTTTTTGCTTTCATTGAAATAGTAATGACGTTTTCCTTTAAAGTTTTTTTAATCTGTTAATATTGTAAATTACAGAGTTTTTCTGATGTTAAAATATCTTGAAGTTGACCTTAGTCTAGGAATTAATCTTATGTTACTGTTGTTGTTGTTTTTTTTATTGTTTGGGATTCATTGAGGGTAAAAAGTGTATTACTATTTTTTAACACATTGCTAATTTTTTTTTTTTTTGAGACAGAGTCTCACTTTGTCACCCTCAGTGGAGTGTTGTGGCATCACAGCTCACAGCACCCTCACCTCCAGCTCTTGGGCTTAGGTGATTCTCTTGTCTCAGCCTCCCAAGTAGCTGGGACTACAGGCACCCACCACAATGCCCGACTGTTTTCTTGTTGCAGTTTGGCTGGGGCTGGGTTTGAACCCACCACCCTCGGTATATGGGGCCAGCACCCTACTCAGTGAGCCACAGGTACCACCTAATTGCTAATGTTTTATTAGTGTTCATGAATGAGGTCAGTCTGTAATTTTTCTTTATAGTATCTTTGTCTAGTTTTAGAATTGAATTTATACAAACTTTAAAAAATGAGTTGATAATTTTTTTTATTCTTTGGAATGTTTTGTATAAAATACATTATTCCTTAGAGGTTAATTTTATTTATTTATTTTTTTTGAGACAGTCTCACTATGTCACTGTTGTTAGAGTGCTATGGTGTCACAGCTCACAGCAACCTCAAGCTCTTTCTCAAGTGATTCTTTTGCCTCAGTCTCTTAAAAAGCTGGGACTACAGGCGCCCACCACGACACCCAGCTATTTTTTTGTTGTAGTTGTCATTGTTGTTTTAGCAGGCCCGGGCCAGGTTTGAGCCTGCTAGCCCCAGTGTATGTGGTTGGCACCCTAACTACTGAGCCATGGCACTGAAACTTGAAGGTTAATTTTTTATTAGTGTTGTTTTATTTTTGTGTTTTCTGTCTATTTTGACAGAATAGGTACATTTTTATCTACGATTTTAATGTCAGTAATTATAAGTCTATGCTCAAAACTAGAAAACTTTCTTTAAAGAAAAATTTCTAGTTCAACTAAGGTTTTTCTACATAGGCATAAAATTATTCACTATATGCTTATTTTTTAAAATCTCAAATGTAGGCGGCTCCCTTAGCTCAGTGGGTAGGGCTCACAGCACATACACCCAGGCTGGTGGGTTCAAACCCAGCCCGGACCCGATAAAACAATAGACAACTGCAACAAGAACGAAAGAAAAGAAAAATAGCCAGGCATTATGGTGGGCGCCTATGGTCCCAGCTACTTGGGAGGCTGAGGCAAGAGAAATACTTAAGCCCAAGAGTTTGAGGTTGCTGTGAGCTGTGACCTCCCCCCGCCCCTGCCCATGGCACTCTACCCAGGGCAACAGCTTGAGACTCTGTCTCAAAAATAAATAAGTAAGTAAAATCTCATATGTGTCTGTGGTTGGGGCCCCCTTTTTCACTTGCCATGGTTTATATGTTATTCCCTAAATCCATGTGCGACACAGGCCTGTGATTGGAAAGTATAAGGAAAGGATTTATTTTTAACACAGCTGAGCTGAGGCTAAGATAACTTATTTTTCATCTACCTCTTCCAGGCAACTTTACTTTCTGGTGGACATTAAAATCTAAACCCCTGTTACAGAAGATTCTGTATTTTTGCAGGAATGGTAGTTTTGTTGTCGACGTAGGCATTTGTCAGACCTACAGAATTAAAGTGTTTTTTTGTTTTTTTTTTTTTTTTGAGGCAGAGCCTCAAGCTGTCCCCCTAGGTAGAGTGCTGTGGTATCACAGCTCACAGCAACCTCCAACTCCTGGGTTCAAGCAAGAGTCTCCTGCCTCAGCCTCCCAAGTACATGGGACCACAGGCGCCCGCCACAATGCCCAGCTATTTTTTGGTTGCAGCATCATTGTTGTTCGGTGGGCCTGGGCTGGATTTGAACCCGCTACCTTAAGTGTATGTGGCTGACGCCTTAGCCATTTAAGCCATAGGCGCCAAGCCCAGAATTAAAGATTTTTAAATTTCTTTATTTTACTCAATGTAAATGATGCCCAGTGATGCTGGCTTCAAAGAGCCAAACATACACTCCGGCCCTTGGACACTGATCAACCCTCACCTTACACCCTGCTCCCTCAGGGATGCCACAGCAGCTCAGGGGCTTTTGGGTTCAGTTTTTAGCTCTCTCTCTCTCTCTCTTTGGCCTTAAGGAATTTTGTTATGTTCTTCTAAGCTCACTCTGTAATGTAAAAGATGTTTGTTATAATTTATGGAATATTTATTGGTATTTACAGTGACTGAGTTTCCAGGTAATCTCGTTTACCTTTCTGGTGGAAACACTGAGTTAAGCAGTTTTTGTTTATTTCATTTCTTTAGAGACAGGGTCTTGTTCTGTCACCGAGGCTGGAGTGTAGTAGTGTGATCATAGCTCACTGCATCCTGAACTCTTGTACTTAATCAGTCCTCCCACCTCAGCCTTCTGAGTAGCCAGCACTACAGGTATATGACACTATGCCTAGCTAATTTTTTAAAAAAATAAAGACTGGTCTGGCTCTATTGCTAGACTAGTCTTGAACTCCTGGCTTCAAGTGATCCTCTCACCTCAGTCTCTCAAGTTGCCGAGATTACAGGGCTGAGCCTCCGCATCTAACCACGGTAAGCAGTTTTCAAACCCTTGAGTAAATGATGACTAGAAGGTTGGCCTCAAATTTAGGAGAATGAGCTAAACTGGAATCAAAAATATTCTGTAGATAACTCTAAAAGTAAGCCATTCATTCAACATATTAATCTTATACTTACTTCGTGCCAGCCACTATTCTAGGTAGTAACCAGAACAAAATTATTTTGGGGGGACTTAACATTCAGTGAAAGGAAATAGTAAACAGATAACTTTATGACGTGTCAGTTTGGAATGCTGATGAACTCTGCAGGATTGCTATAATTTAGCCCAGTGATGTAGTGGGAAATTTTTAGATTAAGTAACAACATGAAACCTGGAATTAAAATGTGGGGGTTTTTTGTTTGGTGTTTTTTTGTTTGTTTTTTTGAGACAGAGTCTCAAGCTGTCGTTCTGGGTAGAGTGCTGTGGTGTCGCAACTCACAGCAACCTCATACTCCTGAGCTTAAGCCATTCTCTTGCCTCAGCCTCCCAAGTAGCTGGGACTACAGGCATCTGCCACAAGGCCTGGCTATTTTTTTGTCGCAGTTGTCGTTGTTTAGCAGCTCTGGGCTGGGTTCAAACCTGCTGGCCTCAGTGTATGTGGCCAGTGCCCTACCAATTGAGCTACGGGCACCGCCCTTAAAATGTGGTTATTAAATAGGACAAATGATGTTTATAGTTTATGGAATTACTATACTCAAGAATTTCTATCATCTGTGTCCCTTGGAGTCTGGAATGCCAATGTGATGTAAAGCATGGTTTCAAAGATTTTATATTGAATATTCTGCAAAAAAAGGATTTGATGGTCTTAAAGAAGATTCTGTTTTAGAAATTAAAACACGTATTAATATATAATATACAAAAGTCCTTGAAATATTTTGTGATTAAGAAAACTGCTTTATTTATTTAAACTCACCATTTCCGAAATCTGTTTTGCAAGGGAATATTCTATAGAGCATACTTTGAAAATGTTAATATAATAGAATCTACAATGGAATGTTTATGTGACCTTGCTAGCTTCTATTAGGTAAAAGTGATAAGTACTTGCCTTCCAGTGTTATGAAGATTATCCAAAATAATGTATAAGAAGTAACTAATGTGTAAGTCCTGGTGTCTGGTTGATTGACAGTTACTAATAGATTTTCTTAGAAATAGATACTATAGGCCGGGCTCAGTGGCTTACACCTATAATCCTAACACTTGAGAGGCTGAGGCAGGTGGATTATGTGAGCTCACAGATTCAGGACCAACCTGAGTAAGAGTGAGACCTTGTCTCTAAAAATATCAGGGTGTTGTGGCAGGTACCTGTAGTCCAAGCTATTTGGGAGGTAGAGGCAAGAGAATCACTTTTAAGCCCAAGAGTTAGAGATTGCTGTGAGCTGTGATGCCATGGCACTCTACCAAGGGTGATAAAATGAGACTCTTAAAAAAGAGAGAGAGAGAGAGATACTATGTATAGAGACAGGATATATTGGCAGTGGACCTTATTAACCTTTAAATGTGATTTTTATCAACAGGAAACTGTGGAGATATAAATTTAGTACGACTGGGTCCAGAAAAGTCTATTAATAATGAAGTTCTAAAATTTAGTTTGGACAGCCAAGTTAACCACAGAATGAGTAAGTACTGAATATGGTACATGCTCGTGTTTTCTCTGTTTCCTTTCATATGGTAGGAAATTACTTGGGCACTCAAGAAAATTTAGAGACTCCAGAAATAGTTTAGCTTTGTAAACTAGTTTCCCTTTGCTATTGTTTGGCATGTGTGTGTGAGTTTTTTTTTAATTAGCATATAATTTTTTTTATTCTTATTAGAAAAAGATTTACCTTCTCATGTTCAAGAGATGCATAGAAGAAAGGAGTTTCTAGATCATCAGCTAGATGAGCTTTCTCGGCAGCGAGCTTTATGCCGAGGTGGACGGGAAATACAGGTATCTAAACATTTCTTAATACTCTCTAAATAATAATACAGATAACTTGTAGGTATACAAACCAATTGATCAGTGTTTGATGTCCTTCTTTTTTTTTTTTTGAGACAGAGCCTCAAGCTGTCCCCCTAGGTAGAGTGCTGTGGCATCACAGCTCACAGCAACCTCCAACTCCTGGGCTCAAGCGAGTCTCCTGCCTCAGCCTCCCAAGTAGCTGGAACCACAGGCACCTGCCACAACGCTCGGCTATTTTTTGGTTGCAGCCGTTGTTGTTTTGGAGGGCCGGGCCCACCACCTTAGGGATTGGATTCGAACCCTCTACCTTAGGTGTATGTGACTGGTGCCTTAGCCACTTGAGCCACAGGCGCCGAGCCCGATGCTCTTCTTTTATTAGGGAATGGCATAATTCATGTATAAAACTTATGTTCTAAAGTGGTATATCTTTACATCAGGGGTTAGCGAACTTTTCTGTAAAGGGCAAGAGTAGTAAGTATTTTAGGTTTAGTGGGCCATGCTGTTGATTGAGTGTTGGCAACTACTCTGCTTTTGTAGCATGAAAGTAGCCATTCAATTAACACATCAACACATGGATGCGGCTGTGTTCCAATAAAACTTTATTTCAGAAAACAGTTGATGCATTGCATTTGGTTTATACGCTATACTGCTTTATGTTACTGAATTTACTAGGTATCTTTCAGTTATAAGTTAAAGAAACAGTTTTGATTAGCTTAGATAGAAAGGGATTTTACTGGCTCTAAAACCTAGGAATGTATTAGCTTCAGCATGCCTGGGTGCAGAGATGCAAATAACACCATTTCTCTGTTCCTTGATTGGTTTTTCTCTGTGTCAGCCATTTTCTTCAGGAGAAAATAAGCATCAGCATCTTTGAGCTCTACCATCTAAGTTTAGAAACCCCATAGGGCAGCGGTTCTCGACCTGTGGGTCACGACCCACAGGAACTGTATTAAAGGGCCGCAGCATTTGGAAGGTTGAGAACCACTGCCATAGGGAAAGAAGATCTCTAAGGTCTCTCTCCCAGCATCCATGCCTCAGTTCGAAGGAAGGACTTCGATTAGTCCTTGAGTGGACAGGCAGGTCTAATCCTTGTGGGGGAGGGGGGGGTTGTTTGTTTGTTTTATTTGTTTTTGAGACAGAGTCTCACTCTCTTGCCCTGGGTAGAATGCCATGGAGTCATGGGTCACAGCAACCTCAAACTCATGAGCTCAAGTGATTCTCTTGCCTCAGCCTCCCAAGTAGCTGGGAGTACTGGTGCCTGCCGTAACACCCTGTTCTTTTTAGAGATGAGGTGTTGCTCTTGCTCAGGCTGGTCTTGAACTTGTGAGCTCAAGCAATCTGCCTGCCTCAGCGTCCCCAACTGCTAGGATTACAAGTGTGAACCACCACACCCAGCCTTCTAAAAAACCCTGTTTTTAAGGGAATAAGTGCCATGAATTGCCAGACTTATATTATAGGCCCATCACTGTGGCCAGAGGAGTGATCAGGTGCCATTGACATCCCATTAGAACCACCTAGAAGTTAGTGAAGAAGTAATGTTACAAGGGTTAGAATAGTAGGCAGATAATAGCATATGTGCATTGCCTGTGACATAACTGAATCTTACAGAGCAATACAGAAAGTGTGTCAGGGACTTTACTTGTAAAGAGAAAACAAGCTGGGTTAATAAGTTTTTTGTGAGTAAAATACATGCCTACCATTTTAAAAGGTGGGGTAGTCCACTGGAAAGCATTTTATTTTATTTATTTTTTTTGGGGGGGGGAGTGACAGAGTCTCAATATGTCACCCTTGGTAGAGTGTCACAGCTCCAGGCAGGGCTTGAACCTGCCAGCCCCAGTGTATGTGGCCAGCCCACTGGCCACTGAGCTACAGGCACTGAGCCTGGAAAGCATTTTAAAAGGCTTGGTTTAACATCGCTGGGGTTAACTTTGAAAAAAATATAATGAACTAAAGTCCTGTTTTAGTTTTAATGATGGCATTCTAATTTTTTCCAGAGGCAAGAATTAGATGAAAAAATTGCCAAAGTTTCAAAAGAAAGGCAAGAACTTGCTTCTAAAATTAAGGAGGTAAGTAGTTCTCTTGTAGCATTTTCTTGATTTTTGTTTCCTTAATTCAATTATAAATGGTTCAGACAACCTATGGCCTTTTTCTGTTACACTTAAAAATTTTTGTTGTGAAAAATTGCAAACATCTATAGAGGTAGAGAAAATGCTATTATTACATTTATTTATGTTGCATTTTTTTCTTTAACCTTAGAATGAATTCTTGTCACTTTCTGAGATCTCTAAGAAAAAAGTAATTTAAATTATCTTTTTTCTGTTTTAGGTCAGGATAAATATTTAAAATTCCTCTTACAAGGTACTCTATTTCTGCTTCCCACCTATTGCAGAAACCAATTATAATATCAGATAAAGAGTGAAAATAGGTTTATGGGTGTTCTCTTTATTAAAGAGAACGAACATCACCTGTGTGAACTTGAGGATGAAGGTGTTAATTGTGGGCCTTCCCTTGCTCTAGGCTGGGTCAGGTAGAGAGGAAGTGGATAGGATTTGGCATAAGAAAGTATAGCACTTTTTTTGGTCTGTTTTTGCAGTTCTTGGCTTAGAGCATTAAAATCTTTATCATAAGAATAACATGTATAGCTTTTCTCCTGTGTTCTTGTAAAAATATTAGATAAGATTTAGACTAAGCGAAACTAGGTGAGCCAGATGTATGGCCTGATTATCATAATGCAGCCCTAATCAAACCAAGCAGGGACAGGGAGGGAGGGTAATTACAACTGGTTATGTTAAAGTATTTTTTGAGCTGAGATTTTCTCTCAGATGTATTAGCCTTCTCTGTGTGGCTAAATAAATACATTTAATTTATGAATACATATTTCCTTTAGCCTTTTGTTTTTACTTGAACTAGAAACTATGTGAAAGCTATTCATTAAAATTTTAAACTGAGCCCCAAATCTTCCCAAATTTAATGACAAAGTTCATGTTCACAGGTGTTGTGTTTTTACTGCTCCTTACACACCTTGTGTGGACCATTGGCTTAGTCATGGCTGGCATTTTTACTCCGTGGCTGAGGAGGGAGCTGTCTGGCAGTGCTTAGCCCTTTGAGTTGTGGGGGGCTACAGTGCTGCCCTCTGGAGCTGCATGGTTGAATGTGTAGCAGAGAGGAGTCACTGCTGCTTCTCAGTAGCACAAATAGACACACTGAGTCTCTGATAAGAGTGCCAGTTTATTAATTTGAGTATTAAGTGGTGTACGTTATGACGTGGCATTAACATTGACTAACAGAAAAATACATGTTTAGTTTTACTCAGATAATTGTTTCACAGCTCCATAGAATTATTTAATCTCTACTTATCTGCAACCTGACTGCAAATATCTGGCTAAAAGGATTGTAATCTCCTTTGACCAAATCAGGCCTTGAATAAATGTTATTTAATGTGCTTAAATCATGTTTTATGCTTAGACTCTGAAGTATATAATATTATTTTTTCCTGGTTAGTTTCTGATTATCTTGAATGTTTCTATTATTTTCTAGACTGCAGGTTTTCCCCCAACTTTTATGTTTTACTTTTTTTTTTTTTATAGAGACAGAGTCTCACTTTATCACCCTCAGTAGAGTGCCATGGCATCACACTGCTCACAGCAACCTCCAACTCCTGAGCTTAGGCGATTCTCTTGCCTCAGCCTCCCGAGTAGCGGGCGCCTGCCACAATGCCCGGCCATTTTTTTGTTGCAGTTTGGCGGGGGCTGGGTTTGAACTCAACACCCTCGGTATATGGGGCTGGCGCCCCACCCACTGAGCCACAGGCGCTGCCCTCTTCTAACTTTTACTAAATATTTTTCTGCCACATAGTAAGTCATGAGATTTTTATGGTAAAAATAGGCCTATCATTATCAAGGATTCATGTGCAACTGGATATTGATTAACCTTTATTTGTTCTCTCAGGTTCAAGGACGCCCACAGAAAACACAGAGTATCATCATCTTAGAATCTCATGTCATCTGCTGCACATTGAGCACAAGTGGTGGTTTACTGCTAGAGTCTGCTTTTCGCGGGCAAGGGGGTGTTCCCTTCAGTTGTGTCATTGTTGATGAGGTCAGTGAGCGCAGGGGGCCATGCAACTTTGACTAGTACCATGAAGAGTAAGTCTTAGATGAATTGTGATTAAATGGTTTCTTTGCATCTGATTTTTACTTGTGTGTTCTCTTGTGGTGAAATGTGCTGCTGATTGCCCACCATTGTTCAGATTGTTTCTCTAGTATTGGAATGATAGTCTTAAGGATAACTGACTATTGGCGACAGAATCTCTGCTCGTTGGTAGCTGCTTCTTGGGAGTATCTCTGGTTATTTTGTGAAGTTGTTTTTTTTTTTTTTTTTGCAGTTTTTGGCTGGGGCTGGGTTTGAACCCACCACCTCCGCCATATGGGGCCAGCTCCCTACTTCTTTGAGCCACAGGTGCCGTCCTTTTTTTTTTTTTTTTTTTTTGAGACAGTCTCACTTATGTCACCCTCCATAGAGTGCTATGGCATCACAGCTCACAGCAACCTCAAACTCCTGGGCTTAAGTAATTCTGTTGCCTCGGCCTCCCAAGTGGCTGGGACTGCAGGCGCCTACCACAACACCCAGCTATTTTCTTTTCTTTTTTTTTGAGACAGAGCCTCAAGCTATCCCCCTGGGTAGAGTGCCGTGGCATCACAGCTCACAGCAACCTCCAACTCCTGGGCTCAAGCAAGTCTCCTGCCTTAGCCTCCCAAGTAGCTGGGACCACAGGTGCCCACCACAACACCTGGCTGTTTTTTGGCTACAGCCGTCATTGTCATTTTGGTGGGCCCAGGCTGGATTCGAACCCATCACCTTAGGTGTATGTGGCTGGTGCCTTAGCCACTTGAGCCACAGGTGCCGAGCCCAGCTGTTTTCTTGTTACAATTATTGTTGTTTTAGCTGGCCCGGGCTGGGTTCAAATCATCAGCCTCATGTACATGGCTGTCACCGTAACCACTGTGCTACGGGTGCCAAGCCCTTTGTGAAGGAGTTTTAATATGACTTTGGACAGCCTTGAGCCACAGTGTTTTCAACTAACATCCTTTTTTCCTGGTTCATTCTTTGAGTGCACTTTTATTGAGTACCTACTATTTGCCTGAATATAGAAGTCAGAAGATAAAAGAGATGGAGCAGATAACAGAATTAATCCTGGAGACCCAAGAGTTCACCAAAATGAAAGAACCAAAAAAGTAAAGATGATTAGATAATCAAAGATGTCATTGAATTGAAAAGAAGCTCAAGTCTTGGACTAAAGAGGCCTACTGGGAAACAAAGATTGGGGAAAACACATAGGCACACCTAATGAGATTTTTGAACTTCAAAGATAATGGGGTTTTTTTGTTTGTTTGTTTGTTTTTGTTTTTTTTGACATAGTCTCACTATGTTGCCCTTGGTAGAGTACCATGGAGTCACAGCTCACAGCAACCTCAGACTCTTGGCCTTAAGTAATTCTCTTGCCTCAGCCTCCCGAGTAGCTGGGACTATAGGCGCGAGTCACAACACCTGGCTATTTTTTGTTGTTGCAGTTGTCATTGTTTAGCAGGCCCAGGCCAGGCTTGAACCCACCAGCCTCGGTGTTTGTGGCTGGCGCCCTACTCACTGAGCTACAGGTGCCTAACCAAAGATAATGTTTTTTAAAAAGAACATTGAAGGAAAAGAGAATTTTCTCAGGTTTATGCCCAACAGGAACAAAGAACACAAACCTCGACCTTACATGACCTTGTGGCTGGTTCCCAAGTGGTGGTGGCTTCAAATAATGTTTGGTTTAAAAAAAAAAAAAAAGAAATTGTGTGTGAGGAATTTGGTTTCTGTTTTTTGCTTTTTTCAATTAAAGAAAATACTCATTTTTGGTATTTGGGACAGAAGGAGAATGTAATACCTTTATGAATGGCTAGAACTTTAATTAGGTAAAATATATGTGGATAAATTAATGGCAGAGATAATTAAGACTGTTTCTCCCTTCTGTGCCTTCCTACCAAGGCTGGGCAATCTTGTGAAGTTGAGACTCTGACTCCGCTAATCCATCGCTGCAACAAGCTGATCCTAGTAGGAGACCCTAAACAGCTCCCCCCCACAGTCATTTCGATGGTAAGGTTTTATCTTCAGGCTGCTTAAAGAACCTGAAAAACAAGGAAAAGGATTCCAGCCTCTTGATTTATGTTTTAAATATGTGCACATTTGAGGAAAACACTATAAGGAGAAACTGGTTTTGGAGTACATTTCCAATTTTAGAATTAAGTATTCTATAGTCCAAGAAAATATCTGTGTTCCTTTTATCATCTGAAGTGAAGGTGACAGAAAAAAAGGATTAATTGTGACTCTGCCTGTGGGAAGATAAGCACCTCTAGATTGTGGTTCACTCTGTTTTTTGTTAGTCTCACTCAAGATGTCTCCCAGAAATGCACACGAATCAGGATTTAGTAGATGTTTGGAATAATCTGAATAGACCTAGACTATGATTTTGAAATTTAATAAATTTATATTTTTTACTAATAACATAGATTATACATAAACAATCCCAGAGATGGATCACTTTCAAGGTATTTCTGTTGAAGTATGAAATGCATGCATGTTGTTTTTTTGGTTGGTTGTTTGTTTTCTTTTGCTTGTCAGCTTTTGTTAGTGTTTGTGTATTTATTTATTCATTCATTCATTGATTCATTTATTTTTGTTTGTTTAGCAGGCCCGGGCCAGGTTCAAACCCACCAGCCCCAGTGTATGTGGCCGGCGCCCTAACCATTGAACTCTGGGATCCCAGCCATGCATGTGGTTTTTATTATTAACTTGTAAATTATTTTAAATGATAGTGCAATTTGTATGATATCTGGGCACAGGTGCCTGACTATTCTAGGGTATAGCCCAGAAGCACATCCATCCCTCAGTGAAAACCTGAACCTGTTTCTATTAGGAAGAACTACAGGTGATTTTGTTCTTAAAGAATAATGATGAGGCTTGACACCTGTAGCTCTGTAGCTCAAGCGGCTAGGGCACCAGCCACATACACCAGAGTTGGCGGATTAAAGCCCAGCCTGGGCCAAACAAAAATGATAACTACAGCCAAAAAGTAGCCAGGCATTGTGGCCAGCTCCTATAGTCCCAGCTCTCGGGAGGCTGAAGCAAGAGTCACTTAAGCCCAAGAGTTAGAGGTTGCTGTGAGCTATGACAACAGCACTCTACAGAGGGTGACATAGTGAGACTCTGTCTCAAAAAAAAAAAGAATAATGAGCAAATTCTGTACTTTACTTCTTCAAATAATGCTGTATTTCAAAAATCTGATTATAACTTCTTGAAGGACCTCAGCAGGTAATAAAAAGGGATTGTTAATGGGACTCAACTTTACTGATAAAAACAGCAAATGAGAAAAATCCACTTATTTATACAAATAAAACAGACTTATTGAGGAAAATTTAGAAAATAATTACAAAGGTCATTTCCACAACATGCCTTTCTGACTCCCTATTTCTAGTGATAATTATTGTGAACAGTTATATGAATATTTTAATAAGATTTTACTGGGCATTTGTTTGTGCATTTACTGATGTTTTTCAATATGTATTTATTGAGTGCCAACATAATTCAGGCACTGTTTCAGGTCTTGGGGTTATGACAGTGAAGAAAATAGACAAAATCGCTGTCCTCGTGGAACTTACATTCTAGGGGATAGCAGACAGTAAGTAAGTTATTAAAATATAGTAGATAAGGTTTGTATATATGTATATATGGCTTTGGTTTTGTTTAAAGGTGACAGAACCATTCTGTGCAGAATTGGATTTTTTTCAGATCAGGGACATCTTCCATGTCAGAATATATGTCTACATTTTGTCTGGAAGTAGATTTTTTATCTTGTATAAATCTTTTTCTTTTTCTCCAAACAGAAGATTCAAAATTAGGTTTTGGTCTTATTGAAATAGATAACTTTTGGGTATATGGGTGAAATTGCCAAATGTTTATTAATAACTATTTAAGGTACACAAACCTATTTAAAATCACATTTTGTTAATTAAGAAGTAATGCCTTTTTTTCACTCTCATAATTTGTGAAACAGGCATATTCAGACTTTGTAGTTAAGTTTGTGAATTCATCCTAGAAAAAGTGCTACATACATCATTGCTGAATATCACTACAGTTATATTTTCAAAGCATTCTCCTTGGGAAGTTATGTACCAATGCCAGCACCTAGTCCATCCTTCAAAGCAATTTTGGAACTCTTTCTGGAATGATTATCAGAGCTATTGTTGTATGGGACACAACAGCAAAACCACACGACAATAGTGAACACCACTTAGCAAGACGCCACCACAAGTCAACATAAACACAGCCATGAGATATTGGTAAACCAAGGTTATGAAACCTTATTGAGTTGTTTTTACAGTGCTGCCAACATAAGCACACAGTGGCAAGTTCATGAACTTAATTATCAGACTTCATACAGTGACAGCTCTGATGGCCATTCCAGAAAAAGAATTCCAATATTGGGTGGCACCTATGGCTCAGTGGGTAAGGCGCCGGCCCCATATATCAAGGGTGGCAGGTTCAAACCCAGCACTGGCCAAACTGCAACAAAAAAAAGCTGGGCATTGTGATGGGCACCTATGGTCCCAGCTACTCAGGAGGCTGAGGCAAGAGAATTGGCTAAGCCCAGGTTGGAGGTTGCTGTGAGCTGTGATGCCACTGTATTCTACTGAGGGCGACAAAGTGAGACTCTGTCTCCAATGTTGCTTTGAGGGATGGACTAGGCACTGGTGTCAGTGGATAGATTCACCTTCAGAGTGACCATAGTGATAGTCAGCAATGAAGGTATGTTGCATTTTTTCTAAGGTGAGTTTGTTATTTTTTTTCTTTATTTTTCTGAGACAGAGTCTCACTATGTTGCCCTGGGTAGAGCGCTGTGGCATCACAGCTCACAGCAATCTCAAACTCAGAATTTCAATCTCTCAAAAAATAGCCCGGCTATTTTTTTGTTGTTGTTGTAGTTGTCATTGTTTTAGCTGGCCCAGGCTGGGTTTGAACCTGCCAACCCTGGTGTGTGTATGTGTGTGTGTGTATTGCGTGATCTTAATTGTCCTTGTACATTTTTTTTTTTTTTGAGACAAGAGTCTCACTGTGTTGCCCTCAGTAGAGTGCTGTGGCGTCACAGCTCACAGCAACCTCAAACTCTTGGACTTAAGTGATTCTCT